TAAGCATGATTCGTTTAAACCGATCCGTAGGGCGTATAGATTTCTTTACCCGTTTATCAATTAATCAAGTACCACCAATTTCAGAGGCAGATTACTAGTTATAATTATTATGTTTAATAGTTTAACTGTTCATGTTCCTAATTAATCTATACTTTGATTTGGTTGATGCAAGCGATTTTTTTATTCGTATATGTTTCGTTGAAAGCCTTTCCTTGTCTAGTCAACTTAAACGGCAAAGGCGCATGAATCTTACTGTGTTTTAACTTCGTTTTTCTTTTTTACTATTATTTGTTGCTTCTCAAGTTCTATTGTGTACTGTTTAACAACAGCTCCTCTGAGACATTGAATTCGTCCAAGAAGGATACAGTAGTTAGGCATAAGATATAGACGCTAAAACAATTTACACATGGAACGTTCAACGAATTGAATTATTGCGAGCACATTGTAGTGATGTTGAGTCAGATTAAGAATTTCTGGGGGGTCAATCCTTTCAAGTGCAATAACCGTAAGAAGGATGTTGAGAGAATCGAACAAGAGTTGTTGTAGGATACAAATTGTACTGTGTATAGCAATAAATAGACTGCAGATATTTATGCGAGAAATATATATATATACATACATATATATTTCTAGCTTAACTTACAGTAATTAAAATCCAATAAAAATATCTGTTCACCGCCAAGGAGTAACTTCGTTAAACATCGCTAAATTTTTTACCACCGGTGACAAATGTTAGACACTAATGTACGACACGCAAACGTATAAAATCTGCAGTTTAGTAATAATGGTAAACCTGTTCGCACAATGATTTACGTCATGGGTACTACATAGTAACACGTAACAACGCTCGATGATGTTAAGTTGCACCATGCATCGGAGAAAGATTGTCGGTATGGTTGGCAGGTACCAATCGGTTAGTATAAAATTACCATAGATCGTATCCATCCATGCAATGCCGTCAGTATTTAATAAACAAGGATATGCAGCTTCTACTTCCGAAAAAGAAAAAAAAAAAATTGGGTACATATATATTTCATTCGCGTTTTACGGGCTTTGTAATATCCGCGCCCGGAAAGGGCCGTACACTTTTTCATTTCGTATTATTCGGATTCGAATCCGGACAATTGGCGAACAACAATGCGGCGAAAAGAGAGAAAAGAAAAAAAGAAATTCAACTCGTTTGCTGTGATACGAATGCATGCGTCGACACGAATATCAATTAGTTGAACGCAGTATCCTGCATCGTAATTGTTCAATATATTTACACGTTGTGTCGCGGGTGAGTTGATCTCACGCGAGACGAATAAAAACGGTTCTAACGTTATTCTTTGCTAGGCACAAAGAGATACTTACTTACATTCATTGAACCATGAATGGTTATTGTTATTATCGGGCCACGAATGTTTGTGCATTACGTTCATTTGAAAAGATGAAGCGAAAAACGGAAATTTACAGTTTCTATCAAGCCTGTTGAGACGATTGGGAGTAAAAGAAGAATTCCATCTTATCAAGATGTGCATCTTAAATACGGTTACACTACCACCTGTACTTGTGAATGCATAAACATCCGTGGCCTGGTTATTAACGTTACTATATTAATAGCGTGATGCGTTGTAATCAGTTCAGTGTAACACTGCGATCATCTATTTCCGACTAAAACCTACATGCGAAGAAAAGATACAACGAGTAGACTTAAAAGTATGGTACTACATGCGCATTGATCACTCTCACCTTCTTCCGTTGCGTTAGGTATTATTACTCTCATTTTCTCTTTATCTTTAGTAATCCATTGTATTATTTATAGCGTAGACAAAGTATTATTTTATAACAGAGCAAGTAATATATCTTCGTGGACAGACGGTCGCGTGATCCATAGGACACACTGTCGTTACTAATGTAGCTGATTCGTTGCATTTCATAGCTCGATTACTGGGATCAGCGTATTGTTTCAAACTGCACGGGAATTATTTATTTGAAACGACAGGCATATCGATTCCACTTCGAGATTTGCGTCCATTATAGATGTGTAAGAGCTTGACGTCTTAAATTAAGATGATCACGCGTAAAGTACATACTGCCATTCTTTTTATAAAACATATCTTTTTCCTTTATCTATCCTAAACGATATCTTTTATATCCCGGACGATTTCATTTGAATGGGACACGTTTCTGAGTACCATAGGCGCGCGTGCGTGCGTGCGAGTCGTACGAGTCGTGCGGAGATGCACAAACGTGTACTTGTACAATTTAAGATTTATTGTTTCATTCGTAGGAGGAAAGGAAGATAGGCTCTTAATTGTACGATGTTCGTTTCATAAGACAACGGTAAACGCGAGGATACCAGCAACTCGAAATGGCACCTTTCAATTCTTAATTTTAAGTCGCTTACCGCAGTTCCGATTTTCTTTGTGAAACTTTCCCGAACGAGTCACATACGTAAGGGCTAGGATGCGGACCGAACGGAGTGAAATGTACGTTAGTGACAAATAGGGTGCCCGATCGAACGCGGACCACGCATAGATAATTAAAGATTGTCTACGTTGCGAGTCTAGTAGATTAAACGTCCGTTGTGTTTAAGCGGACACGAAGAACGCGCGAGGATCAACGTAGCTTTTAAATGTGTCGCAAATACGGAATTTATATTACACGTTATTTATTTTGCTTAAGTATTCCGCGAACCGTTCAGTGGATAAGAGAAGCCTTTTGTAATTATTGCGTTCTTCTGCGAGCTAATTGTTGTGTTCGAATGTGACTCGTGCTAAACTAAGATGCAATGGAAAGCACACACGCGAATTAATGCTTAACAACGACGATGTTTGCTTTCTTTTTTCTATTCTTATGCAGTAAGTTAATCCATTTTGAGGGCGACCGCTCGTAAAACTTTGCAGATCATGTCGGTGTAATCAATGGTTTTGTTGTATCGGTATTTTTCAGTCTGTTCCCTGTTCAGCGGTGAATTTCACGAATTCGTTGAGTAAAAGCATAGTAGAGGAAGACATTGGAAAATACTCGATCGCCGAGACAGAAACAAAAAAAAGAGAGAAAGATAGACATTGAATCAAAGTCGACAAAACGAAACTGTTCAAGGCGGTGAAAATCAGCCGATGTAC